GACGGCTGACCGTGCTTATAGCTTCCCTCCTCTTTGTGATTACACAATTTTTAGTAAGTTCTGGAACTACGTCTGAGCGCAGTTATCAAGTCTGTTGCCGACTGTCTCGGACACTTGCTGAAAACGCGACTCCCCTGGGTATGGAAAGGCTCCCGCAAAACTTCCTAGGAAGGCAGTGGCCCCCAGCCTTTGAACACCCACCTGCTCTGCGGGCAGCAAGTGCTGCCAGGACACCTCAGCTCTGGTCCCGAGGCTGGGCCTCGTTTCTTGGGGGGAGCCTGAGGGAGCCTGCGCATGTGATGTCCCCTCACCGGAGAGGCCCTCCTCTGAGATCTCCCAGCTTTAAGCTGAGCAGCCAGCAGAGCGGGAGGCTGGAAGCCGGTTTCACAGACCTCTGCAAACACGAGAGTAGGACTAAAATGGCTCCGACCCTGTTCCCAGGCTGCTCACGCACGGGGACCAGATCCTCCACTGTCCCCACCGGGTCTAGCTGGGGCACGGCTGGGAGCGAACAGAGGTGCTATTAATAATCACGCCCAGCGTGCGGCCACCGTCCGTGGCCCGCGGCAGAGCTCCTAAAGGAACTGCTGTGGGGCCCGTCTCTCCAGACCAGAACCTCTGCTCTCTCCCCGAACGAAGCAGGCCTCTCGACACCTAGCTTCGAAAAACTGGAGCTCGTATTTGGGGAGTGCTTACCAGGCCCCTCGACACAGGAAGCTGGGCCAGAGCGGAAAGCCCGTGGCCCGGGGCCACACGCCGCTCTCTGACCATGGGGTGTCCTGCCTCTCCAGTCAGGATGGAAACCTCCAGGGGATAGAGGGACACGGCTCGAGGCCAGGACGTAACTGTCAGCGTTGACCTGGCGTTCCCGCAAGTCAGAGCGCATGGTAGGTTGATGGAAGCCAAGGTACGTCCACCTGATGTGGGTCATGTAGGCTGTGGGCTGTGGAGACTGACTGTACCTATTACATAGCGAGAAAGTGACATCCTTGCAGAGATCGCTGTTGGGAAATCCGCTTGTTTGATTTACAGGTGGGAAGAGGGCTGTGCTGCCTCCGGGGGCCGGGGGAGGGGGGTCCTGGGGCTGCTGCACCCGTCCACGGCCCTAGGATGTCATTTGGAATCCTGAGAAAACAGCTGCCACCTGGCCCTTAAGGAGCCAACCACATAGCAGGGCCACGTCTTGGGGGCTGCTAGCAGGGG